TGGATGGATGAGTGGATGAATGGATGAATGGATGGGTAGATGGATAGATGCATGGATGAGTGGATGGGTGGGTGGATGGATAGATGAGTGGATAGGTGGGTGGATGGATGGATGAGTAGGTGGGCAGTTGGATGGATGAGTAGAAGGATGGATGGATGGGTGGTGGGTGGATAGATGATCAGGGGCCTTGTTGCTAAGTAACCCTCAGCTAACCCATCTGCTGGATCTTCAACATTTCTGACCCCATCTCTTCAGGAACCAGAGCATTTTTCTCGAGTTACTGGGCTGTCCCTTTCCCCCTCCCACTGCCTCTCCCTCTCCCCCCGCCTCTCCGTCTCCCTCTCCCTCTCTCCCCAGCCCAGCTGCTGCTCTGTAGCCCTGTGCTTCTCAGCGCCAGCTGTGAGATGCTGGTGGACATTCTTCTTCCCCAGGGTCCACAAGGTGGCCATGCTGGATCCACACACTTGTTCTCTCTGCCCTCCCTGCCCTGCCCCTTGCAGCCAGCTCACTCATCCATTCGCTCCATAGTTGCAGAACCCCACTAGCCAGGCACTGTGTTCCCATGGCCTGTGCTTTCCAGTAGGAACTCCGACGGGAAACAGGAAACGTGAAATTCCTCACACATGTCGGGTAGTGACGAGTGCTGAGGAGGGGGAGCAATGCAGGGAAGGGGAGCAGAAGCAGCTGGGGTGAGGGGCAGCGGTTCCGAGTAACGTGCCCGGCGAGGCCGAGGGAGCGGTACCTGGAATGAAGACCTGGAAGGAGTGAGCAGTGGGCCAGGGTCACAGCAGGGCAGAGCGGGCAGTGAGCAGTGTGTGTGCCAGGGCCTGGGGCAGTGCCCTCCCTGGTGAGGTGGGTGAGGTGGGCTGGCACCAACGCAGGGTCCCTCGGGCTGGCCGGCGAGGAGGGCAGCGAGCGGCGGTATGTGGAGGCATCTTGAAGCAGGCAGGCAGGATGGGAGGTGGTGGGTGCGGGAGATGGAGACGCAGGCACTAGAGGGTTCTGAGGCACGGAGTGGAGGGGGGCGGGACTCGGTTCAGGTGTGGAGGGGACGCACTTCGGTGCCCAGGAGGAGCAGGGGGTGAGGAGTGTGGAGTAGAGGCCTGGCCTCCAGGGTGTCCCAGCTGGCTGCCCCTGCATGGATGCAGCTGTGACTAGACCCAAAGGATGCCCCTGAGGCCACCTTAGTCTCTGCAGGGCCATCCCAGAGCACTCATTTTCCTGGGTTCCTGGCACCCCCAGAGCCCTCTGCTGCCCCTTCAGTCAGGAGCCAGCCGTTCCCCTCTGGCTTCTTGCCCCCTGCTCAGATTGGGCCCCCGCCTCCCCCAGTGTGTCCTGGGCAGGGCCTTCTCCACGAGCCCAGGCCACTGTCCACTGTCTCTTCACCTACACACGCCCCATGCCGGTGCTGTTTCTAGATGCCCTCTGTGTGGCAGCCACTGACTGGTCCCCCCGCAGGTCCCACGGAGCACCTACCAGGAGCCCAGGGAGCAGCAGCAGCTGCAGCTGATCAAGAGATCCAACCGCCTGAAGGCCGAGGTGGTGGCGCCCCTGCCTCCACAGGGCCCAGAGTCCCCGCACCTGCTAAGGGGGAGGGGGCTGGCGGGCTCCACCTGTGCGTCCCCCCAGTGGTCCACGGGTGCGGGGACTCAGCCAGTGTGGCAGGAGCCATGTGGTGTCCTGGCAGGAGCTGCTGCTGCTGGCCAACAGAGAAGAGCTGCGGTGCGCCATGCCCAGGCCCCATGGGGGGCCACCCACACAGGTAATGCCGGCCAATCTCTACCATGGCGTGTTCTCAGATCACAGCGATGTTCCAGTGGCCGGGTGTGGAGCACACCTGTGAATCGCAGCACTCTAGGAGGCTGAGGCAGGAGGATCACAAGTTCAAACACAGCCTGGGCAATTTAATGACCCAGCAAGACCTTGTCTTGAAATAAAAGGGCTGGGGATGCAGCTCAGTGGGAAGGCCCAGGTTCAATTCCCAGCACCGCCAAAAATAAAGGACACTATTTCAGTGGTGCCATGGAGGCCAGTTATTTAGCCTCTTCCTGTCATGGGCAGATGCCCAGCATATATGGGAGGGGCCCTGGGGCCAGGCAGAGCGCTGGCTGGCGAGCGCGCACCTGAGACCTGGGGAGAGAAGGCGCCCGAGAGAGAATGCACCTGCCGCCTCGACTCTGGGTCCCAGATGCCTCGAGTGGAGCGCTTCAAACTTCTATCAAAAAGACAAACCCAGGGCATCGGCCTGGAAGGAGAACGCAGGGGACCAGGACAGGAAGCCATGCCCCAGAAACGCTGGCTCGGGAGCTCAGCCCCCAGGGGCTGCAGCGCAGGCAGGCTCTGGGCACCATTACCAGCTGCCCTACACTGTGGCTTGGAGCTCCTGGGTGCACAGTGGGGTGGGAGGAGAGACTTGGGGAGCAGCCTGGCAAGGAGCCAGCCAGTCTCAGGCTGGAGGGCAGCTGAGGAGAGGCTCCCGTCCCCAGGCCAAGCACCGCAGCACGGCTGGAGGGCACGGAGGCCAGAGGCCCCCAGGGCCACGGTGGGAATGCACGGATGGGGCTGGACTGGGGCGGAGAGGAGCAGTGGGCTTCCAAGGCTGCAGTCCATTCAAGAGGGTTGGGGCCCCAAGCGGGCACAGATGCCAGGCTGTCTCTGCTTGGCTTGCACAGGACTCCAAGCAGCAGCTGCGGCCTCAATCCGCCTTGCCCCGCATCCGGAAGACTCCCAAGCTGACCTTCTACAGGGTGAGGGGGCCCCCCTCTCCCTCCCTTCAGGAGCTGGGGGCCCCCAGGACGGCCCCATGCTGAGGCAGACTGCATTACCTGGGCAGGGGTAAACAGGGAGGGTATGGCCACCCCCAGCCCACCACCAGCCCGTCCTCCACCCTCCCTGCAGCCTGACCATGTCCCTGTCAAGCTGAACGCTGCTGCCATCCTGCGGGAAGGGGCCCTGTACCGGCGCCAGGTGGAGAAGGAGCTACAGAGGTGAGGCATGGGGCGCCGGGGCTCCCTCTGCCCACCCTCCTCCAGGTTGCCCCCTGCGGGACGGTTGTGACTGCAGCTCAGTGGGGGAGGGCTGAAGGCTGGGAGGATGTGTCAGAAGACACCAAACCAGACCTTTTTTCTCTCCGTGCTCTCAGCAGCAGTAGGGCACATCTGGGGCCCTCTCCGCTCAGACAGCGTCACAGCTGGGTCTGGCCGCAGACGCCAACCCTGTGCTTCCCATCTACTGGCTGTAATTCAGGGTTCTGGCTCTCCATCTTGGTTTTATTTGTTTGTTTGTTTTTGCAGTTCTAGGGATTGAACCCAGGCCCTTCCCATTGAGACAGGGTCTCTCTAAATTGTCATTCTTCGGCCCCACCCTGCCACGTTCTGGGATTACAGGCGTGAACCACTATGCCCAGCTCCACTTACTGGTGGATGATGGGATATTACCAAGGGCACAGGATATTACCACGTGAAGAGTGGGGAAGGGGTGGGGACCTCCATGCTCTCTCTGGGCCCCAATGTCCAGAACCTCCCACCTATTCCACCACCCAGGAGCCCCCTGAAACCCGTCCTTTGGGTTTTTTGAGGGTGACATTGCATAGACACCATTGATGACATCCTTGGCCTGGTGGTTGGTTCAACTCTGACTTCCTTTCCCTATCCTGGAGGGCCAGGTGAGGGGGCTAAGAGCCCAGTCGTCTGAGCCCACCTGGTCTTAGTGACCAGCACATCCTGAACCTGCCTAGGGCCCCAGCCAGCGGCCTTCTCATTAGCATATGAGAGACACTGAACCCTTTGGCAACTCCGGGGATTTTAGGAGAGCTGTGGCCAGAAGCAGGGGTGGCAAGCAGGTACCTCGAGTTTCACAGTATGCCAGGAGTCTATAGTCCTGCCGATGAGTCTATAAAGGACAGTCAGGCTTGAGCCACCCTTCGCAGATAATCCCAGCTCTGGGAGAGATGGACCAGGGTAGGGGGGCACCTGCCAAACCCCTGGCCCTCCCTAAACCTTCTCGGCGTCACCTCCTCCTGGACCCCTTCCTGATGCCTCTTCCAAGCTGCCCATTCTGATCCTTCCGTGTCTGAGTTGGGCAGATGGACAGACAGGAGGATGGGGATGGTGTCCAGACACAGTGCACAGGGAGGCAGACAGACAGACGGGGCAGAGCACACTGGGACTAAGGGGAACCTGGAACGATGTGCTGGTGTGTGGGTGCAGAGGAGGGCCTGGGGGCCACCGTGGGTCAGTGGGCGGTGAGGCCAGGTGCCTTGAGGACCACAGCCCCCGGGAACTTGTGGCCTCCTAGTGGCCCTGCTCAGATGAGGGACCCCACCCTGCGTCTCTGTCCTTGTGTCCTCAGAGTTGACAAGCTTGTGGACGGGCACGGGGACATCTCTGAATTCCTTGAGTGGCAGGAGAGGATGCAGGCCAAGGACCGAGCGGAGCAGCTGGCTATGAGTGAGTGCCGCAGGCTGCAGGGGAAGCTGAGTCACGAGGAGGCGGTGCTGGCCCGGCAGCATGTCCTGCAGGAGAACAAGCAGAAGGCAGACCAGAAGAAGGAGCAGGTGATGTGCTATGTACCTGACTAGGGGTACACGGAGCTGGCTAAGCCATGACCTCCAGGAGCCTGGGCTGTGGCCAGCAGAGCCACCGAGGGCATGCTCCCGTGGCTGTTGGCTTGTGGCTGGTTCTGGGTTATGTCCTCCTAAGACCTATCAGGTGGCCCCAATTCTCTGTCCCTGTCTCAGCAGGGAAGGGTTCCGAGGGGTTTCACACCACCAGGGCTGTGTGATCGTGGCCAGAGGTCCTGCCCCAGACTGCTGTCCCCTCGCTAGCAGGTCACAAGGTCCACAGGTCTCAGGGTGCTCCTGAGGGCAGAGCTTCAGTTCTGGCAGAAAATCCTGGAAGGTGGACACATTTGCATATGACACGTTTGCAGATGACATCTGTATCAGTTAGCCCTCCTGTCCCGGGGCCCAATACCGACACCCGCAGCTTGAAGGAGAGGTTTATTTGGCTCAAGGTCTCAGAGGGTTCAGTCCATGGTTGGCTGGTTCCAGGGCGGGAGCATCACCGGGGAAGGGCCTGGCGGAGGAGTTTAGTGAAGAGGACAGATAAGGTCAAGGTCGCACGTTCAGACCCCGCCGAGGAGTGTGCTCTACTAACCTACGTTGCATTTCTTAATCCACTGAAGCTGACCTGTCAGGATCAGCAGCCACAGCCTCCTCTCCCGTGAGGGCTGGGGCACCCCTGGTACCAACCCAATGTCCCAGAAACAGTGCTTCCTCTGCACTGCCAAGCTGGGGCTCCCCACCTGGGCATGACACCAGAAAGCCTGGCTGCTGTGGGCCTCACAGTGCCTGCCAAAAGGGGACCCCAACCCACCCCAGCAGGTCTGACCTGGGTTCTGTCTTGCCTAAGATGCTTCCTGCAGAGCCCCTGAGCTGCAGGCGTGGGAAAGTCACTCATATTCCTTGAGACTCATTTGTGTGTGTGTGTGTATTCACTGTTAAGGTTTGCTTTTTCCTTTTAGTTTAGTTTACTTTTTTTTGTACTGGGGACAAACCCAAGGTCTTGTCTATGCTAAGCATGTGCCGACCACTGAACTACACCAGAGGCAGCAGCTTTCTTTTAGGGAAGTTTTAAAGTTACAAATTCCATTTCCTTACTAGTTAAGGACTAGTCAATCAATCTATTCCATATTAAGAGCATTCTGCTAGTTTGCCTGTTTTGAGGAATTGGTCCATGTTATGGTTGATACACTGTGTCAACTTGAGGGGTCCAGAGGCTTGGCTAAGTGACTCCGCAGTGCTGCATCCTGGTGTGAGAGGCACATGCCCTTACCACTCCCCTCCGGGTCACTGTGTCAGTGTGAGGAGTTTAGAAGGGTAACTAAGTGACTCAGCAGGGGGCTGGGTCCTTACCTTGTATCATCCTGACCCTGTGCAGGAGGAGGGCAGGGAGACTGAGTGCTACACGCCCCCTGGGTGGGGGCAGCCTGCCTACAATATAAGGGAGGAAAAAAGGCTAGTTCTCCCCTACTTTTTGCTCTTGCTGCTTTTGCTATCTTCCGTTGCCATGAACTGTTGCCATCTGCCATGTGCCACCCTGCCTTGGAGCCAGCGAGTATGGACTGAAACCTCCACGAACTGTGAGCTAAATACACCTTTCCTTCCTTAATTTTGGACGCTGGGTATTTTGCCTCAGCAAGGAGAGAAAAGTAACCAAGACAGTCCATTTCATAGAGTGGTCAAATTTATGTACATAGATGTTGACTGTAATATTCTATCACATCCATTTTACGTCTGTAGTGATAAAAGTTGTTTTATTCCTAACACCCGAAGTTTGTATCTTTTCACTTTTTTCCCTGTAGTTCTTCCTAGAGATTTTTCAATTCTATGTGTCTTTCCAGAGAGTTGACCTTTTTGTTTCATTAATGTCTTGGTTACTTTTCTGTCTTGCAGAGACAAAATACCTGACGCCCAAAATTAAGGACGGAAAGGTTTATTTCGCTCGCAGTTTGTGGAGGTTTCACTCCATGCTTGCCAATGTAGAGTGGCACATGGCAGAGGGCAACAGTTTTGGCTACAGAAAACAGCAAAGACAGCAAGAGCAAAGCTGGAGGAGTAGTGAACCAGCCTCTTTCCCTCCCTGCTATTGTACGCAGGCTGCCTCCCCCAAGAGCGGGTGTAGCACTCACACCCATAATCCCAACACTGGGTCATGAATTAATCGCAAACTCTAGAAGCCCGCCCCATAACTGCATGAAGCTTTGGGGGACGTCTAGACACACACCATAACAATTAATTTTCTCTTATGATTTTGCTAGAGGTTTTTTTCCTTTTCTTACCCCCTCTACTAGGGATTGAATTCAGGGCCTAACAAATGCTAAGTAAGTGTTCTACTGCTGAGCTGTATCCCCAAACCAATTTTTATTTTAGTTTGAGGTAAAATCTTGCTAAATTGCCCATGCTGACCTTGAACTTCCAATCATCCTGCTCCAGCTTCCAGAGTTCCTGGGGTTATAGGTATGTGCCCCCATGCCTGACTCATTTTGCTGTTGTTAATTGACTTGTTATTTCCCTCTTTCTGTTCGTTGTGTGCTTCTTTTGCTCTGCAGTTTCTAGGTCTCGAGATGCGAGCATAGATGATTGATTTGAGACTTCCTGGCTCTCCTGCTGGAAGAGCTAGTGTTGTCCATTGCCTTGTGCTTATTGTCTGAACTGTGCCACACAAAGCTTGGTACATTGTGTTTCATTTTCATCCAGTTCAGTGTATTTTCTTCCATTTCCTTCAGATCTCCTCCCTGACCCATGAATTATTTAGAAGTGTGTCGGTTTCCAAGCTTGGGGATTTTCCTGTCAGCTTCCTGTTACTGATTGTGAGCTGGATTCCATTGTGGTTGGTGAACACACACTGTGATCTCAGCTCTTTTAAATGTGTTGGCCCGGGGTGCGATCTGTCCTGCTGTACACTGTATGGGCTTGAGAAGAACTCACTGTCGTCCTCGAGTGTTGTGGGAGTGCTGGCTCATCCTGCTGGCTGCTAGTGTTGCTGATTTCTTTTTCTTTTCTTTTGGTGCCAGGAATTGGACTCAGGACCTTGTGCTTGCCAGGCAGGCGCAGTACCACTGAGCTATATCCCCAACACTGTTGCTTATTTTTGCACCTTTGCTGACTTCCTGTCTGTTGCTCTATCAGTTGCTGAGGAGCGACGCTGAAGTCTCCAACTGTAACTATGAACTTCTCCCTTTCTGTTCTATCAGGTTCTGCTTAACGTATTTTACAGTTCTGCTGTTTGGTCCATGCACACTTACAATTGCTGTGCATTCTTAGTAGTGACCCTATTTTTATTTTTTTTTATTTTTGTCTTTTTGACACAGGGTCTCACTATCCAGTTCAGGCTGGCCTTGAGCTCACTTTGTAGCCCAGGCAATGATCCTCCTGCCTCAGCCTCCCAAGTGCTGGGATTACAGGTGTGCGACACCACACCTGGCATTTTCTTTAATTTGTTCTGTTTTGTTTTGTTTTTTTGGTACCGGGAATCGAACTCACGACCTTGTGCTTGCCAGGCAGGCACTGTGCCCCTGAGCTAAATCCCCAGCCCCTTGCTTAATCTTTGGATGATACGTATTTACTATTCTTTTACTTTCAATCTGTATCATTATTGAGTTTCTTATAGATAGCATATAGTTGGATCGTGTTTTAAAATCTGTTCTACCAGTCTCTGTTGGTGTTTATAGACTAGTTGGTTACACATAATTATTTTGTTAGGATTTAACTCTGCCGTTATTTGTTTCATTTGCTCTATCTTCTAGTCTGTTCTCTTTTTCTCCTTTTCTTTTTTCTTTTTTCTTTTTTTTTTTTTTTGTACCGGGAAACAAACTCAGGACCTTGTGCTTGCCAGTCCTCTCTTGCCATCTTATGAGCTGCTCAAACTTTTCTCCAGATTCCCACTTCGACTCACGTGTCATGTTTATGTAGAGTGTCTCTTTCCCGCACACAGCTTGGGCTGTTGCTCAGCGCATTACGTTACACACACATTACTCACCTTTTCACTGCTGTAACAAGACCCCTGGGATAACTAGCTTGGAAAGAGGAAAGTTTGCTTTGACTCACAGAGTTGGAGGTTTCAGGCCTCGTTCCACTGACCCTGTTGGTCTGGGCCGCGGTGAGGCAGAACCTCACAGGGGAGTGCACGGTGGTGCAGGGAAGAGGGGAGGCTGGGGTCCTGTCCACTTCAAGGGCAGCCTGCCCCACAGTGCCACCGCTTGGGGGCCAGGCTGTTGACACGTGGGCCTTTGGGGGCTTCAGACCCAGAGGGCAGCAGGGCATGGCACCCTGTCTCCATGGTGTGATTTCTACCGATCTGAGGGATGTGTAGAAATCCCGGCTCCCTCTACGTTCTTTTATCCTCCCTCTTTATAAGAATCTCTCCTGCATACACTTCCTCATACAGCCACATAGGACAGCGCTATAATTTGTGCTTCGACCACCCAACATATTTCAAAAGACAGGAAAGAGTCAGCTGCGGTGGCACACACCTGTAATCCCAGCACTTGGGAGGCTGAGGCAGGAGGATTGGCACGAGTTTAAGACCAGCCTGGGCTGAGTGACTTCAAGGCCAGTCTAAACTACATAGCAAGAGACCCTGCCTCAAAAAAAAAAAAAAAAAGACACAAAAGAGGGTAAGTCTGGCCAGGCGTAGTGGCTCACGCCTGTAATCCCAGCACTTGGGAGGCTGAGGCAGGAGGATCGTTGTGAGTTCGAGGCCAGCCTGGGCTATAAAGTGAGCTCAAGGCCAGCCTGAACTGCATAGGGAGACCCTGTCTCAAAAAAAAAAGAAGGGAAGTCTGTTGTATTGACCCATTTTTGCTTGCTATGTCCTTTCTTGTTACAAGATTCCTTCTCTCATCACTTTCTCCCTAAAGAACTTGTGGCCATTATTTTAGGGCAGGTTTATATTTTTGGCAAGTTTGGACAGCTCTGGCCATTAATACTCTTGTTCATCTCGGGCTTGTTTGTCCTCCTCGGGGATCCTGACAACAGGTATGTTAGGTCGTCTGTGAGTCCCCACGGCCCCGAGGGTCTGTGTCTCTCCATTGTCTGTGGGGTGACTTCTGTCCTCGGGTCCTGATGCTGCACTCTGCCCTCCGTCCTGACACTGACCCCAGCCACTGAGGTGTAAATGTAACTGGTTATTTTCCCATCCTTCAATTTCCATTTGGTTTTTCTCTATGTCTCTGTGTCTTTGCTGAAACCCCACTGCGATCATTTGTCTGGAACGTGCTCACGACTGCCCGTGCCGCATTTCCGCGGTGCCTTGGAAGACCTTTGTGGAATCTGGCATCTGGCGTCTGAGCGCTGGCACTGCTGGTTGCCCTTCTTTACTCACTCTGAGGTCCCCTTGGCTTCTGGTGTGACACGTGGGCTTTTATGGAAGCTTAGACCTTCGGGGGTATCATATTACGAGCCTCTGGCTCCTAGGGCAGCCTGTGTCGGCTCCCTCCGACACCATCCTGGCAGACAGAAGGGGGCACTGCCACCTTCCTGCCAGGTGGACGAACAAGCACGGGTCCCTGTCAGCCTCTGTTGACCTGGGGTCGGGGGACGGCCTCCAGGGTCCTAGCTTGGTCTCCATCTGTACCTCCCTGGTTGGGGGGTGCAGGCCTCTCTTTCACTTCTCCCCATGTGGCCCACTGTCACCAGGCCTGGGCAGCCCCCTCCTGCTGGCCACCATGAAAGCCCTGCTTTGCCCGGGGCCTCCTGTGACCCCAGTCTCACGGGCGGGGGAGGGGCACCGTGTTAGCGCCAGATGGGCTGGAGTCCAAGGCCCCCAGTCAGCTCCACCTGGGCCTGTCTGGCCCTGTGCCAACGGCAGGCCGTGCCCCTGGTGGGGGTGAGGGTCCAGGCTCCCGTGGGCCTGTGCTGGTATGAGGGGTGGCCGACGCACACTCCCTGGTGTCTGTCAGAGAGGAGTGGTGGTGCTCTGAGGTCCTGCCACCTCTTAACCTTCAAATTTTCCGTTTTATTTTCGTGGTGCTCGGGATGGAGCCCAGGCCTCACCCACACCAGGCCGTGCTCTGTCACTGCACCTCCCCGCCTCGGCTCTCTGTAACACTGATCCTTCCTGCAGTGCTGGATAGATCCTCCCACCCCGTGGCCTCCCTGGCTTCTGGGGGCCACAGGCACTTGGTGGGGCGGGTGGGGTCGGTGCAGAGTGAGTGGCCAGGCCCTGTCCCTGACCCGAGGCTGGGGATCCTCGAAGAGACCACTGAGGCTGCCTGGAGGGGCACAGACCCCTGGGAGGAAAGATGTCGGTCATCCTTACCCCTCAGTGCCCCTTCCAGGGGCAGCCGGACCACAGAAGACCTGGCCTACCCCTGAGGCCTGAGGAGGGAGTAGGGCCAGCGCTGCCCTCCCATCAGGTCATCCCGCTCCCAGGAAGGGTCGCAGCCACAACAGCTGGCTTCGCTGCCCCGTCCCTGGTGCCAGTCACGCATGTCATGTTGAGTGACGCCAACTCAGAGGTGGTTTGCCGCCTGGCGGGCAGTGTCCGTGCCCCTTCCAGGTACGAGTTGCCTGCGTGTCATGGCTATGTCGTGGCACGGGCAGGGGCGGCCCCTCCTTGTGTGTTGGCCACCCTGCACCTCCCTGACTCAGCTGCCTTCAGTTAGGCCACAGAAGACTGGTGTCCCAGCCCAGGGCTGTGTCCTTCTTGTCCTGCTGGCCTGAGGCAGCCCTAGCTGCAGGTCTTTTCTTTCTAGCCTAAGGACACCCAGCCACACATATTCAGGAACTCCTTCTTTTTTTTTTTTTCAGTACCAGGAATCGAACTCACGACCTTGCACTTGCCAGGCAGGCGCTGTGCCGCTGAGCTAAATCCCCAGCCCTGCCACAAGTATTCAGATGACGAGGATTCTTTCTTACCAAGTCACAGGTTAGATGGCACTGACTTGTTTTGTTTTTTGAGACAGGGTCTCAATATGTAAACCAGGCCAGCCTCAGAAATCACTCCTGCCTCAGCCTCCCTAGTACCGGATTACAGTCATGTGCCACCACACTGACTTTTGTGAATCACAGCTTCTGTGTGTGCTGAGACCCCGTTAGCCCAGCCTGGCTGCGAGTGCCCTTCCGTCCCTCCTCCATGCTGCTCTGGGTCCTTGGAAGCATCTTTCCTTTTCTTTTCTTTTTTTTTTTTTTTTTTTTTTTTTTTTTTTTTTTTTTTTTTTTTTTTTTTTTTTTTTGTCTTTTTGAAAAAAATTCTTGCTCTGCAGTTCAGGCTGGCCTTCAGTTCACTTTGTAGCCCAGGCTGGTCTCAAACTCATAAGGATCCTCCTGCCTCATCCTCCCGAGTGCTCGGATTACAGGCATGCGCCACCACGCCCTGCGGAAGCTTTCCAGAGGGAAAACGTTTGTGCCCGCCAGATTTTCCCTGCATGGGTGCCGAAGTCCTCTGAAGGACCGGCCTCCCGGTGGGACTGGAACTGGGAACGGGGCTCTCTGGCTCCTCCCACAGTGGCTGGCTGAAACAGGGCTGGAAAAGGACGCATTATAAACCTGATGGTGCCGGGGTACAGCTCAGCGGCACAGCGCCTGCTGGGCAAGCGCAAGGTCTTGAGTTTGATTCCTGGTACCCAAAACAAAACAAAACAAAACCCTGATGGTAATATTGATATTTTAACTGAACTCTAACAGTGTCTTAAATTACTTGATTATACTTTGTCATTTCATTTTTTCCTCCCCCACCGTGTGTGTGTGTGTGTGTGCGTGTGTGTGTGTGTGTGTGTGTGTGTGTCTTTGTACTGGGTACTGAATTCTGGGCCTTCACACTGAACTACATCCCTGGCCCTTTTTCTTTTTTATTTTGAAACAGAGTCTCACAAAATCTCAAAGTTGCAAGTTGCTCAGGGTAGGCTTGCACTAGATCCTCTGCCTCAGCCGCCCAGAGTGCTTAGATTATAGGCATACACCACTGCATCCAGCTATTTTATCTGCTTTTAGAAATGATTTGATCAGCTGGATGTGGTGGTACACACCTGTCATCCCAGCATTTGGGAGGCTGAGGCAGGGGGATTGCTGAGGGTTCCAGGCTAGCCTGGGCTATAGAGGGAGACCCTGTCTCAAAAAACAAAACAAACAAAAAAGATTTAATCAACCATGCAGATAACTAGCTACATTGAATAAAACTTGTTTTCCAACCCCTCATCCAAGTGAGACTGATGTAGGGTCTGTACCAGTGTCAATACCAGGGCCCCCAGGGAGTGGCGTCCCACCCCGCTGTCCCTGGCGCCATCCTCTGCCTGTGTTTGTCCAGCCACAGTATTTGTGCGGTTTAGTTGGGCGGCACTTGAGCACTTTTCCGCCTGGCTCCAGCCATAGAAACGGCCCTCGGGCTTTGCTTCGTCTTCCTTGGCAGTGCCGGGCATGGAACCCAGGCCCTTGGGCATGCGGGGCCAGCACTCGCCATGAGGCGGCGCTCACAGTGGGGCCACCTGCGCAGCCCCAGAAGCACCAGGCACCGCTGACCCGAGGGACCCCAGGTAGGTCAGGGAGCTGGGCCTTGAGACAGACTTGGCTGCCTGGTGCTCACCTCCCGGTCCCCCACCTGTGCCATAGTGCCCCCAGCTGGGCACCTCTGCCCCTCCCCTCCCCTCACGCCCCTTCTCTGCCAACCCAATGCCCTGCAGACTCCACCATGGAGGGCCCGTGCCTTCCTGACTAGGCCAGCCTGTCCCTGGGGCAGCTGAGGAGGTGGCTCAGCTGCCTTTATTTTC